CTCTGTTTGAGCACCACTGTCCTTACCATTCCTGCGGAGAGTTTCAGATTTTCCTGTCTCTCTGTGTCTTTAACCCTGGCTGCACATTTGAAAAGTCAATCACCTGGACCCTACTTTCAAAGTTTGGTCTAACTGGCCTAGAGTGAGGCCTGGTTATCAGCATAGTTTTAAAACTTCCTAGGTATTTCTAATGTGCAATGGAGGTGGGAAAACCATCCCACCCCTCCCCCACCCCAGCAGAAGGCCTCAGCCTTTTCCATTACATTCCTTTAGTGGGTGTCAGCCCTTTCTTTACTGACAAGGGCCTAGTCTTCAGGGATTTCTTAGTCTGTCTCTTTCAGGTAGTATCCAGAGTACCCAGACACCTGCTACAGTGTCTCCTGTTCTCCCTCCAGTTACTCAGTTCTCAGCCATTAGTCATTTTCTTTCCTCAATTCTCGGACTTACCTAGCCGCCCTACCTCTTTTTGTCCCCCATATACAGGAAGGTTTGCTCCCCACTTCTGGTTTGTTACAGTCCTGTTGGACCCATTATCCCCGCCTCCCAGGTTCTCTTTACCTACAGTCCCATTGTGCTGTCTGTCCCCCCTTCACATGCCCTTCTTTTATTCTGCCTTTTCCAGCCCAGTCCCTCTGGAACCGAGGGGTTGGAGGTGGAAGTGGGTAAACACTTGCATGGTGCTGGATGCCAGGTTTAACTGTGGTAAGGAAGGCTTGTGTGTGCGTGTGTTGAGAATAGTTGGCAGGTACGGGAGAGGCAGGGTGAGGTGCAAAGGGTGGATGGAGTCAGGAACCTACAGCAGAACCCACTTGAGTGTGTGAGATGGGTTTTCTGCTCTGACATTTGTGTGTCTGCAGTGGGGGTGGAAGGTGGGTGGTCTCAGCAGTCATTCCCTACGCCTGCTGGACTGAGCAGGCCTAGATGCAAGGTCTTTTGCCTTTAGAACCCTGAGAGTTGAGCACATGGGACCTACATGTAAGGTCTTCATTGGTGGGAATAGGTGGGAAGACCTGTGTTTGAGTTCTGGCTTAGCCAGAGTGCTTACATGTGAAAAGAGGAGGTTGGGTTAGCTTCATGTGAAGATTCCTTCCAGCTTCCTCAGAGCATAGCCGGCCTGCTTGTCCCCAGAGCCCTTGCTTGTTCAGTGTGTTGGTAATTTGAGGGGTTTGGCTGTTGGAAAGTCAGGTGGAGGGAGGAGCCAGCTGGCCTGCTGGGGCCTAGGCCTTGGATCTGGCTCCTTCAGTTTGGCCTGGGGGTGGGGTGTGTGTGCAGGGTGTCTGGTTTCTTTGAGTTATGGTAATCCTGTTTCCATAGCATGTTTCCCAGCCTCTGGCCTGCCCTAACTTTCTAAAAGGACTCCTCGTAGAGTCCTAACTAGGGATTCTGATAAGAGCCGGATGTTCTTGGTGTTTTGTCAGCAGGGAGGTGGGGGCTGACTGAGAGTTTAGCTCCCATTGGGTGGGGGATGGGATTTCCAGCTTTCCTGGCTCCAGTGAAAAACTCAGGAGGTGGAGGCTTGGTTTCCTGGAAGAAATAGCAACTTGAAGAGGAGCTGGCAGTGTTTTGAAAACAAGGCTTAGCGCTTTCCTGTGTTCTGATTGGTACCTCCAAAATGACAGAATTCCTGGTGGTGGGGGAGGGAAGAAGACATATATAGATATTGATAGACAAACAGATTTTATTGACTTTTTTGAAAATGAGCTTTAAATCTAAAGGAAATCAAGCCATTTCATGGTCTGTCTCTGCCTGGATTTGCAGAGCAGGGAGATGGCATCTGTCCAGGACTTGCTTGTGACAGTACAGGAGGAGAGCGAGCCTGGCCCAGTTGTTGTGTATAGTATAATCTGTGTGCCGCTGGACTTTGAGGAGCAGTGTCTGGATGTGTCGGTGGCTCTGGGGGTAGATGTGCAGGGACAAGAGCACATCAGAGCCTCCCTGAGCATTGTCACTGCATGGTTTCCTGGGAAGTAGAATTTCTGCCTCTTCCCAAAGGATTTGGTTTCAGTTATTCCTTATTTATTGGGACTGTGGCTTGTTGAATGTGGGTCATAGGAAGAGCCAGTTTTGCCTAATGTACCTTCAAGGTCATGAGAGAGAGACCCCGACCAATTGCTAGTGTAGTCTGGAATCCCCCTGAATTGGAGATATGCTTCAGAAAGCAGTATGGACTAATAATAGCAATTCCTCACTCTGCCAAGAAAGCCAAATTTAGCTGTAGAGCTGCTCAGAAATATAAAAAAGGAGATTGAGGAGTGGGATAGAGTGATGTTACAAATGCACATTTCTAGAAAAAAAATGAGTAATTCATTTCTTTTTGAAAAAAATGTGCAGTGTTGATTTAAGTTGGTACCATGCTTTGGAAGGCCATGAAGCCTAATTGAAAGCTATAGACCAGAAATGACCGAGTAGGTGAACAAGAATTTTGTTATTTGAAGTGAACAAAATAGGTAGTTTCCTGTTAGCAGCAGCAGCATAAAATGCTTTGTATGAGATAAGCCTTAAGAAAATTTCCTAGGCTTTTGATAGCATATAAACAATGATGTAACTTTATCCTGGGAAGGAGGCTAGGACTGTGTGATGAGCTTACTAAACAAACTAGATGGAGGCCCTAAATGTGTAATATGCAGGGTTTTTTTGTTTGTTTGTTTGTTTAAGGTTTTCTTGTTTTTTTTTGCTTTAAAAAAAAAGTTTGTTTCTTACTTATTTCATGAGAGAGAGAGGCCCAGCTGAAGTGACATAGCCAGTAGGGTGCCACTGTACCATAGTGAGCCACCTGGGAGGCCTGGGTTCAAATCCTGGGTTGACCTGAATACACCAGGCACACCTACACATGCTATGATCCTGTAGCTTGGAGGATCACCGGGGTGAGACTCAGGTGAGACTGTGTGTGTGTGTGCATGTGTGTGAGAGAGAGAGAGACAGTGTGTGTGTGAGTATGCATGTATCTGTATATCTCTCTTGAAAGAAGAAAGGGGAGGAGGGAGGGAGGAAGGAAGACAGAAAGAGAAAAGAAAAAGAGAGAGAGACAGGTGCCCTCTGAAAATCAAGACAGATAATCTAGCTGCCATCCTGGTGTGTTTCACGTGGAGAAGCAACCTAAACCCAGTTTGGCTTCCAGCCTCTGATTCGGAGTGGTGATGTCATTTTCTTTATAATCATGCTGAACAAGTGGACTCCCTTTGGAACTTAGAACAGCCCTAGTGGAATCACTTATGCCTGGCACCTGCCCAGGGCCCCTTCCTCAGATGGAAGGGGCGTTGGCAACTGGTAACTGGCAGCAAGCCTTTGTGGTCACAATATACTGGAGGTGGCACTTTTCCTATTTATCTCCCACCTCCTACCTCTCTTCCTGTTTCTTTTGCTAAGTGTGAAGGCAGCCCTGCATTGGTCTCCCTTTGTGGAGGAATTAGTCATCAGAGACACTCCCAGTGTCAGAGGAAACACAGCCTGTGTGAGGGTGTAAGGGAGGTGTGGGCACGCTGGGTGTCCTGTGAGATAGGCCTGAGATGAGAATGATCAGAAGAGGTTAAAAGAGGGAAGTGAATCCTGAGAATGTGGTGTTGGTGCCTTTTCATTTGATACCAAAAGGTAGGTAATACCAAGGCCATCTGATCCTCTTGACAGGTAATAGACACCACAGAGAAAGGGGGCAGACTTGAATAAGCTGAGTATGCCACTGATTCAAGTGAAACACGATCAGAAGTATACCAAGGAGAATTTGAGTTCAAGTATTTGCAGCTTAATAGAAGTTAGCCATAGAGTTACTGTCACATTAAATCTCTACTCTGTAGCAGGCTATACCCTCTTTGAGCAAACTAAATAGAGAAATCACAACTGGCATAAAGTCAGCTGGAAGTGGTTCTTTTTTTTTTTTTTTTTCTTTTAATAGAAAATCCTTTATTTTATCAAGAGATTTAAGGTTCTTTATTTTAAATAGTAAATACCCCAGAGAGTTAAAAAGGATCTGAATTAGACAAATTTCATTTGCTGTCAACATTTCTCAGGAATAATCTACTATACACTGCCTATTGTAGCCTGTATTTGAAATTATAACCTGCTAAGGACATTTCAGACAATAATAGTTCCACAGATGCTTGAAATTAGAGGCAGCAGGATGTGCTGTTTCCCAGGCATGTCTAAGAACAACTGAGAAAATAAAAGGCACTAATAGATCGCCTCTAATCTCCATCTCTCTTGTGACTTGTCTTGGATGCTGCATACCTGATACCCACATTTCCAGCATGATATATTTTTTCTTCTCCAAAAGTTAAGACCAGCCCAGCTGGATGTTTGGGTTCAGTCTGACAGATTAACTCTCCTTAATCGGCTTGATTTTTTTGTCTGTGCACTGAAAGGCTGATAGAGATTACACCATGCCTGACCCCCAGCAGAGTGACCAGGATGTGAGAAAGGGTTGGAAAAAGCTAGACACCAGAGCCAGTCAGAAACAAGTCTAAACTGAATATGAAATCTAACTCGGCTTGGATCTTGTGACAGAAAGACTTGTTTAGAAGTCACTTTCTCTTGTGCTTAAATTCTTCCAGGATTTACCCTTCCAAATGATGATGGTGGCATTTCTTGCCACAATACCATTTTGAAAACTAAAACCAGTAGGAGAGAGCGAGAGTGAGAAAACAAGCTACTAGATTCAGGACTCAAACTGCGGTTGGCCATATGGGAGTCCAGTGCCTTAACCACCACGTCCCCTGCTGCCCCCCCCCCCCCCCAGTTTCTTTTTACTAATTAACCACCACATATGTATATATTCCCCTTCCTTTCTTATTTTAGAAATGACAGTCAGGTTTTTTTTGAAGGAGAAGTGATTTGTCATTCAGAGCAAGTAACTACTAACAGATGCTTTATAATGGATGATGATGGTAATTGTGATCTACTGTCTACTAAGTTTATCCCAAACCCCAACTGTTTCTCTTAGGGAACTAGAACTGGATCCTAGAGTGGGAGCCCGAACTTCTCCCCACCCTAAGCACTTTCTTGTGCAGATTTTATGGGGGAGGAACAAAGAGTCTCCAGGATCCTGTGTGTGCAGGTGGGGAAGTGGTTGTTACCATGACATAGGCTTCTTGTATTGATTTGAAGAGGAGAGAGATCAGGAATCCATAAATACCACAAGCTCATAGATTAGTGCTGGACACAGGGCAGGCTCCAAGGATTATTTCTAGGAAGACAAAGGGGATTCTGGATCTAAAAAAATCCCTTACTTTATTCTGATCTTTTTGGTGGGTTAGTCCCATTACTTCTGCCGTTTGTAAGTCAAAATGGCAATTGGAATGCAGGGTAGAGGACCTTTGGAAGTAGGACACCAGCATTGTAGACTTGCAAGGGCCTTGTTTTTTTTTTTTTTTTTTAATGACCCTAGGAGATTTATTTTTTAATAATTTTTTAAAGAATTATTTATTTAATTCCACTTGTTATTGTTTTATTTTTTAACTTGACCAGAGAGAGAGAGAAAGAGAAAGGGAAAGCGAGAAAGCAAACCACCAGGTCCGGGACTCGAACCATGGTCGGCCATGTGGGAATTTAGCACCCTTATCCACCACACCACCTGCCGACCCCACCCAAGCAATTTTATTAGGTTGCCAGGAAAGTCATGACGTATTTTTCTATGCAAAAATGTGTCATGACTTTTCAGACAACCCAATAGTATATAAGATGACATCTCTCAGGACCAGCAGATGGTGTAATGGTTATGTCTTTTGACTCTCACATAGTTGATGGTGGTCCGAGTACCAGACCTGGTGGCTTAAAACTCATGCCAGGCACATGTGCATGTATGCCCCAAATCCCACGATAATGAAGGAGAAGGGATTGTGGTATGGCCATGCCCCTTGGGGGGGGTGTGATTTCTTGCCTTCCTGTCTTTGTGTCTCCAGTGAGCACGCACACACTGTAGCAAAAATCTCTTAAAAAAAAAAAAATAGATGACATCTCATTTACCCTAGAGATTTGCCCAGTGCTTGGGTAGCTCCTGTGACCAATACAAGCAACCCAGCTGTTTCTAGGTGGCCCAGCTTTCTTGGTCCCTATGTAGGAACTTCAGTGCAGGCCATATATGATCACAGGAATGGGAAGTGGGACATGTGTGTGCCTTTCCTTGGGGAAACCACCACCTTTGTCTACCGTGGACACCATTATTCTTCCCATTAATGCATCGGAAGGGGAAACATAATAGCTCATTGTCCCCAGCAGAAAGTAACTCCTATCCTTGAAGACAGAAAGTTGTGTATCCTCTGTCATGCCCTTTCTGTTAGCAGCTGTTGGTGCCAATATGGCTGTCATTCCCAGATGTTGATACTGCCCCCAGTCCTCAGACACTTCTCGCAGAACCCCATTTCCTACAGAAATTTCCAAGGTCCCTTTCATTTTTTAAAGAATTATTTATTTAATTTGATTAATTATTATTCAGTTTGTTGAGAGAGAAAGCTGCCAGGTCTGAGACTTGAACTGCAGTTGGACACATGGGAGTCAAGCACCTTAACCACATTTCTTGCTGACCCTCAAGGTCACTTTTAGATCCCTAGTTAAAATCCTTAGTATAACAAACCTAGGAGCTGAGCTTTGATGGGTTTGAATTTCCTGTCCGAGCCAGAATGCTAATACAATGCTGTTAGTAGTGAGGAATTCAGTGGGCTGTCCCTTTCGTTACTGTAAAATTGCTATGTTAGGCATGAGTGCAGTTCTGTTGCTCTTCATGTAAAAGAGCCCAAAATTGGTATACTATACTGTCTAAAGCAAAGCAATGTAAAGATGGTTGCCTCATATGTTACAACTGGCTTTCAGAAAAAAGTCCTGATTGACAGCTTATGCTGATTACTATGGTGTAAATATCCCCCCCTTAGCTGACATGACATCATTAAACACGTAGCAGAGAAGTGAGGTGCAGTCACATGTGCTGCCTCTGGCACACTGTAGCACCCCATCTGTGTGATACCACTGTGTGCCAGCTGCCCTGAGGCTGGTACGTGGTGGCTATGGGACAGGCCTGTTGCTGAGTCATGGTGTACATGCACAGACAACAGCTTTCCCTGCTTTGCTTGCTTTTCACCTGGGAGTAAGCTGTACCTCAGTCTGAGAAGCTACTAAATCAGATTCAAAGAAGGCAGTGGAGCAGATTTGGAGTCCTGTTGAGTCCACCTGAAAATTGCGGCCAGAAAGGGCACCGTGGAGTTGACGAGGAACACCTTTAGGAGCTGTTCACTTCTGTGATCTGTCTGATCAGCTCCCTTACTCAGGCCACAGGCCACAGGTCTCCTCCCCACACGCATACACCTGAGTGCCTGTTCTGACCAGGTGAACGTTGCTGGAACTCCCATGCTCAGGTCATGAAGGGAACAGAGAAGGGCAAGGGCCTGCATTCGGCGGTGCGGCAGGGACAGAGTGGGACTCTACTATTCTGTGTACTCTAGTGCACCTTTACTCTGCAAGCCAAATCCTTGGGTTTAGTTTCGTTCTTAATCCTAGAGGGATCTGGGTAAGTGACTGCGCATTCCAGTTCCTTTTCTTAGGGCCATCATTTGGAGCTACTTAGGAACTTCCATCCTCATGACTTCCCATAGCCCATGTGCCATGTCCCTCCAACCTGAAGTGATTGTATAGGCTTTGATTCTGCCACTGCAACGGAGGCACTGAGGGGCAAGAAGACTGATGTGGCATGGGGCCTGAGGCCTGGCCAGCAGGCTGGGATCGGGCTCCTTACAGGGTCAGCCCAGAACCATACAGACCTGTTAGGGGCGCCGGGATTGGGTTCCTTCCAGGGTCGGCCCAGAACCATACAGACCTGTTAGGGGCTCCTCTGGTCACACATGTCCAGGTGGACTCCTTAGCCTCTCTGGAACTCTCTGCCACTGCAGGATGCTTTTTCTTTAAGGAGTTCTGGAAGCTGAGGCTATAAGGATGGGGCACTTGGTGAGGGAGAGCCAGTGGGGGTGTGTGGGTTTGGGTTTAGCACTCCAGTCTGGGTGCTGACTGCCTTGCCTTCTTTGTTTCTTGCAGTAGTATTTTGCCTTTGAGTAACTGTCCCCAGCTCCAGTGCTGCAGGCACATTGTTCCGGGGCCTCTGTGGTGCTCCTGATGCCCCTCACCCACTGTCGAAGATCCCCGGTGGGCGAGGGGGCGGCAGGGATCCTTCTCTCTCAGCTCTAATATACAAGGTAAGGAGAGGCCTGGGAGGAGGGCATGGGGCAGAACATTGGCATATACCACTGAGCTGCTGCTTGAGGGCAGAACTGTGCCCATTAGTCCTCTGACTCTCAGGCTAGGTTGGTAGGGGTGCAGAAAGATTCCCTTAACTGAAGTTCCTACATAGCTTTTCAGAGTACTAGAGGGAGGGTGTCGATGTGTGCACCATTCGCGGCCTTCTGCACCATTCACGGCCTTCTGTATCGGTGGCTGAGGCCCAGAGGTTGATTTAGCTTCTCCCTAAGACTGGGATGGAAGGTTAACAGGGCCGCTGAGTTCTGGTCTCTTGAGACTGCCCGGGAGAGCTTACATGGGTCGGACAGTCCCCTGGGGAGCAGGCTTTGGTTGATCAGGGGCCTGTTCAAACCTTCATGTATGTCTTCATTTGTTTTTTTTGACGTTACTCTTTCAGAGAGGAAAGGGAAAGGACATGGCGTTGGGCGGGAAATAATGGGCTTTCTTCAAGTCAGGAAGACCCAGGTTTGAATGAACTCTGCCCTTTGGAGCCTTGGGTCGGTTGCTTCATTGTTCTGGATCTCAGTATCTCAGAATCTCAGATTTCAAATGGATCCTAATGGTGGTCAGCAGATGATGTAGTGGTTTGGGTCCTGGACTCCCACATGGCTAACGGCAGTTTGAGTCCTGGACCTCTGGTACAAAATCCCAATAAGAAAATAGAGAAGGGATTCCACCGTGCGGCCATCCCCCAAGGGGATGATTTCTTTCTTTTCCTCTCACTGTCTCTGGTGAGTGCCCATGCCCTATGGCAAAAACTTTAAGAGAAGGAACAGACGCTCATGCCCAGAGAGGGCATTAGTCACAGCTGAGGCATATACCGGACAGCACCTTACAGTGCTCAGCACCTAGAGGACGTCTGGGAAATACTTTCCTTCCCATCAGGCTGGCTTTTAGCAATGTCAGCTAGCCTTAGTGCGCAGTGGGAGGCTTCCTGTAGCCTCAGGCAGCAATACATTCTCAGTGTGCCCAGTTTCGTGCTACCCTGAGACTGGCCCACAGGGACTCCTGGCACCACCTAGGTAAGGGAGTGGATGCTGTCGCCAGAAGCAGTTGTGTTAGGATCCTTTGTGGTTTCCTTCCCAGGACGAGAAGCTCACTGTGACCCAGGACCTCCCTGTGAACGATGGAAAACCTCACATCGTCCACTTCCAGTACGAGGTCACCGAGGTGAAGGTCTCTTCCTGGGATGCAGTCCTGTCCAGCCAGAGCCTGTTTGTAGAAATCCCAGATGGGTTATTAGCTGATGGGAGCAAAGAAGGGTAAGGAGGAGCAAGCACTGGAGGAGGGACAGGAACAAACGGGGAAGGAAGGCCCACTCCAGAGGACGTGTATTTACTGGGTTTGTAAAGGAGTCTCTGCCTCCTTCCCTCTAGACATTCCAAGCAGGCAGCATTTTGTAACAGGCTATTTTCAGCCAGTAAGGCACACCTACTGTAGGTTATAATTAAAGAGGATCATTATCACATTAACCAAATACCTGCCAGTTAATCACTCTACAGTTCACTCTTCCCAGCACTCAGTCCCCTTGAGTCACCATACAGTGGTGCAGTTTAGAAGGCAGGAAGCTCTGAGATACAGTGGAATTTCACTAGGTTGGGCAAGGCCCTCCAAAAAGCCAGGTGTGTAAGAAACAGTACTAAGGACGGAGTTATCCTGAGTGGCTCTGTCTCTTGAAGAAATCCTTTTAGATAAGCGTTAGGGCCCAGAGTGTCCCTCTCAGTGGCAGGTGATCTTATCAAATGTGGCCCTCTAGCGGGACCCCTGAAGAACTGGGTTCTCTTTGTGAACTGCATTAGTTATATATTATTTTCAGGTGAAGAACCTATTACAGGAAGAGATAATTCAGTAACATTTTCCTCAGGGGCTGTGGCTTATTTCTTTCTGAAATCAGGATTCCTGGGGTGTTGAAATATGAATTTTCAGGACCAGCAGATGGTGTAATGGTTACGTTGCTGGACTCCTATGTAGTCGATCGTGGTTCAAGTCCTGGACCCAGCGGGTTAAAACTCAAGCTGGGTGCATGTGTGTACATGCCCAAAGTCTCAAGAATAGATTGTGGCGTGGCCATCCCCGGGGGTGTGTAGAGAGTGATTTCTTGCTTTCTCTCTGTTTCTCTGGCGAGTGCATACTCCCTATAGCAAAAATATCTCTTAAAAAAATAGAAATATAAACTTTCCCCCTAGAGCTTCCATATTGATACCGCTGGCTGTGAGCTCAGAAAAGCCCTTTACTGGGGTGAATGGAGGGAGGTCTAAGAGGTGCTGCTGGGCCTGAGCATTTCTGTTGCTTCTTGCAGATTGTTAGCACTGCTAGAGTTCGCTGAGGAGAAGATGAAAGTGAACTACGTCTTTATCTGCTTCAGGAAGGGCCGGGAAGACAGAGGTAAGGAGTCAAAGCAGCCTGGACCTTCAGCCACACTGTGGGGGACGGAGGCTGGGGGGCGCGAGGGGGAGTGTCTGACAGCGGTGAGGTGGAACTCCTGAGTTCGCCTTACAGACCCTGGAAGCTGTGGGTATGATGGGGCCTGCCCAAGGGTTAGTGAGGGCCTCCTGCTTTTTTGTTCCATCTTTGGGTTTTCCCTTGATTTGAGCCTACTTTGTTGTTTCTCATCGGACTCTTTTTACGCTCCTTCTTCTGCAGCTCCACTCCTGAAGACCTTCAGCTTCTTGGGCTTTGAGATTGTACGTCCAGGCCATCCCTGTGTCCCCTCTCGGCCAGATGTGATGTTCATGGTTTACCCCCTGGACCAGAACTTGTCTGATGAGGACTAATGGTCACAGAGGATGCTTTGCCCAAGAGCCACAGTGGGGGAAGAGGGGAAGGCAGGCAGCCCTGGGACAGAGGAGAGGGCTCCTGACTGTCTAGGGAAGGACGCTGTGGGGCTCAGGGCGAGGGTTGCCTCTTGTGTTCTCGGAGTTGACTCGTTGCAATTGTTTTCCATAAAGAACAGTATAAACATATTATTCACATGTAATCACCAATAGTAAATGAAGATGTTTATGAACTGGCATTAGAAGCTTTTTAAACTACGCTGTGTGATGTGCTCTATCTAGCCTAGGGGAGGACATTGCCTAGAGGGGAGGGACCACCAGGTCAGGACAAGGCCTGAGGGCCAGAGGGCAGTGCTGTCAGGCTCAGCTTCCCCTGCTGTCTGTTTTCTTTTTCTGGTTTCTAAGACTTGTGTATTTTCTTTCTTTGCTTCTTGTCACTCAGGGGCCCCTGAATATAGGCCTTCTAGTCCCTGGGCAGTGTCCTTGAGTTGTTCTGACACTCTCCCTGGCTTCTCTGTGCATTTGTATCTGCCTGGAGTAAGCAGGTCTGACCCCTCCTCCTTTACAGCTTAGTGTTCTTCTGGCATTTGGTTAAGCTGGCTTAATCTGTTTAATGTTATCAGTGCATTTCAGATAGGGGCATTGAAGTTCACTCCCACCACCAGGGCTTTTATTTGGGGTGCCTGGGCCTTAAAAAGCACTAGCCAAACTCCAGTTCTCAACGTCATCATCAGAAGCTCTTGCTCCTGGCAGCAGGCCCAGGCCCTAAGGTCTCCTTCCTAGAGTCAGGGTCACAAAGAGCAAAGAGGAAGAGCAAGCCAGGACCTGAGAACTGTGGGGACTGTCCTGAGAGACTGGATGCTCCTGGCTGGCCGATTACAGTGACTGCCTCCCCTACCAGGTCTGAGCTGTGCTTGAGACCCTTGCCCACAGGGCCACTGGGCAGGACTGGGGTCCAGAGTGGTCTGCCTTTTGTTTTCACTGAACAGCTTGTTCTACGGGGAGCGGAAAGGGGCGAAATCTAGATTGGGTGAGGGGGGTGGGGGTGTCAGGGAGGCAAGTGTGTTGTGTTACTGTGTCAATAAACTGATTTAAAGTTGTGGTTGGTTCGTTCTTTATTCCTGTGCCAGCATCAACTTCCCACCACTGCTGCCTTGTGAATCTAGAGCCTGACCTCAGAGGAGCATGGTATGTGCACCTCGGAAAAAACGCAGAAGGAAGCGTGGTGGGGCGACGAACTGGCCAGTGTCCCTGGGGGTACACTACCATGAGACTGTGGTTGCTAGGAGTGCGGGCGCAGCGCCCGAGCCCCTGGAGAGCCACGTGTATGCACGGCAGCTTCACCTAGGGTAGGGGCTATCGCCCGGGATCCAGACTGCTCTTAGCGCTTCTTCTTGCAAGGCCTTGGGCCTTTGCCCGCGGCTGCTGTGCCTCAAATGCCCTCCCTGTTCTTTCTGTGCAGCACAATAACCTGAGGCTCTTGGCACTGCCGTCTGCTCAGACACTGTAGGGGCTAGAATCTCTTTTCTGTCTGTCCTTTTCCCCTCTCTGTTCTCTTCAAACATTTTCCCTTCTGTTTCTGTTCTTCTACATCAAGGAGCTGTTCCTCCACCCATTACAGCTTGGTGGGGCCTGCTGTTGAGCTGCGGCTGTCCTCGGGGCTCTCTGGGTGTTTGGCCCATTTCACATTGTTCTTGTGGAACTCACTTGGGTTTTTACTGTGGGCCAAGTCATTAGCCTTGAACTCCACCTGGTATTCATTAAAAAGTACGCTCAACACCCCTCCCCCCCAGGATTACTAGAGCAAGTCTGGGACTAGAGACTTTTGACAGAAATCTCAGTGCTTCAAGACATCCCCACAAGCAGATAACCCAAGCCCAGGGGCGGTGTCTGCAAGACTGACAAAGCGCAAGACAAAAACAGCCCATTACCTCTTCCCAGAGCTGCTAGAGTGGATGGGAACCACACTTGAGATTCTGCTGCCATCTGTTGGTGGTTCCTCTTCAGTACAGCCAGTTAGCAGGGCTGAATTGGAAACCCAAGGCACCCAGCCAAGATTTCCCTTTCACCAAAGACTTGTGCTATGGAAGACCACTGGCAGAAGTAATGGCACCAAAGGCTGCTCTCCAATTTAAAAAGGAAATGAGAAGATTTGGGGGATGTTGGAGTGAGAGAGGGGAGGTATGTGAGAGGCAAACTAAGTCTAAATTTAAGAACAGGGACATTAAAAACTTTATTCAATAAATACAACAAATAATTAAAAAATATACTTCAATTCCAAAGCCAATTAAGAAAAGGAAGTAGAAAAGGGAAAAAAGGAAGAGGAAAATAGAGAAAGGAAGAGGCCGAACGACGGTTGGTCGGGCCGTGTTTCAGAACGTACCACCCCTTCAAACTGGTCAAGTGTTCTTGACCCATAAGCCCTTACACTTTGTTCTGCTGGGGTCACCACAGAAGCCCACCAGGCAGGAATGGTCACCTGGGCTCTGGGTCAGAGCACACTGGCGGCTGGGATGTGGGGGTGTGAGGGATACTTCCCACCCACTCCTAAGAAGCATCCATCCTGACTCCCAGGCCAGTGTAAATAGTGCAAACATTTAGGCAGAGAGCTCCCAGCTGCAGTTTCACAGGTGAGTGTCCAAAGCCAGGGCCTCGGGGAGACAGGTCCTGGAGTAACCAGGGGTCCAAAGCCACTTCGGTGAATGAGATCTAAGGGTGGAGGGAGGGGAGGCCCGGGCACAGGCTCAGGCTCCTGGGCTTGGCCAGTGGCCAGGCCAGAAAACGGCAGGGAAGGGCCGTGGGCAGGCGGGGTGGACACTGGATGCACAGCTTGCCATCAGCCGGGGAAGGTGACGCGGAGGATGCACGTGGAGCAGGACTAGGAAGATCAGGAAAGCTGAGGGAGAACGGGAAGGTTGGGAGGAAGGAGGAGGCAGCTCAGCAGCAAACTCCAGGAGAAATAACCAGCAGCCCTCACAGATTTGTGATTGTCTCTTAAAAAGATTTATTTTCTCTTCTTGCCTGAATGTACAAAGGCAAAAAGAGTACAGTTTGTATATATATATTTATATATATATATAAAAAAACAAGGAACTTGGTAATGTACACTTTACAGAAGGGACGAATCAGGAAGACTGAAACTAAACCCAACAGAGCAACGCCAATGGAACGAAAGCTATGAACAGCAACGCCACCCCTCCAGCCCGGGCCTCCAGCTCGCCCCAACCTGCTCCCAATGTGGGGGGCTGAGCACCAAGGCAAGCGGGTGGGCTGGGGCAGGAGGGGCTGGATCCCAGGAGGGGCCCATGGCAAGGGGTCACTGGAAAGCTCCCTGGGATGCCCTAGTAATACAACAAATGACAAAGGCCCAGGACCATGGGGCCAGCTAGCTGCCCAGTTGAATCTTGGGGGGCATCAGAGACACTGGGATGGTGAACAGGGTATATGGGATAGTAAGTGACATGGGTGGCCTCAAAGCCTGTGTATAATTTTCTAGCCCTTCTGCAGTCTTAGCCCCCAACTCCTAAGCTCAGTCCTCTTACCCCTACCTTGGAGCCTGGAGAGAAGAGAGTCGAGAATCACCACTGCAGTTCATGGGCTGCCTCTTACCCTTCTGTGTGGGGCTCTCCGACCCGGACATGTGTGGAGAGAACGGGCAGGTGGAGGGAGCTCCGTCCATGTACACATCCATGTGCACAGCAGTGACAGGATGGAGGGAGCTGGCTCCCCTCAGGTGGGAAGAAGGGGTGTGGCCCTGCAGAGCAGCCATCCGGGAAGCCTGGCCCCCTTGCTGGGAATGAGGCCCCTTCTCCCTTCAGCCTCTCCTCTAGGGGAAGCCCTATGAGCGGCATTGATGAGGGCCTGGGTGGGGCGGCTCTGAGGGGCTGGGGCGCTGGTGGTCGGGGCCCTCGGCAGCGATTTCTCAGCAGCTGGGGGTGGGCGGGGTCCTTGCTGAGTGTCTCCTCCTGACTAGGATGTGGGGGCTGCAGGTAGCCCCACATGTGTGTACCCTGCCCAAGGGGAGGGGTGGGAGGGGGACGGCGTCACGCCTGTCAAAGACCTCCAGGGCTGCTGCTGTTATTTCTGGAGGGAAGACTGGCCCGAGGAGGACCGGGACTGTGTGCCACTGCTGCCTTCACCCACTCTGCTGGGTAGCTCCTAATCCGCAAGAGAGACGGCATAGGACCAAAGGGCCAAATGTTCTTTTAAGGGGGTAGAAAAGGAAAAGACCCGGGTCCCTTCTGCAGACCCCAAAGCTTAATACAGAATTCCTCCTCTCTGTTAGAGAACAAAGTGGGAAGGGCAGGAAGGCCAGGCCACGCCTGCCCAATGAGAAAGAAAATGACTCGGAACGGGTTCTTTACACTATGTACAGGGCACGCTGTGGGCCAGTGCCACAGATACGGAACACACAACAGTACTGAAAAACAGCAGAGGTGGGGCCTGGGGGCCGCGGCAGGCTGCGAGTCAGTCCCCCCCTCGGTAGGTGAAGTGAGGGGTCCACACCAGCTCCTTCCACAGATGAAAGGGAAGCCTGGGCTCAGAGTGCGGCCTGCAGGGGCCAGGAGGCAGGGGAAGGACTGGTGTAAGGGAGGCTGCTGGGGGGCCGAGAGGCAAACATTGGGGTGTTGGGAGGGCTCAGAACCCAATTTGAACAAAAACAAGGACGCAGAAACCGGAGGAAGGCCTGTAGGGCAGAGGGGCTCCTCTGGGGCCAATGACTCGATGCTTAGCTACATGTAGGGCCCCGGGTTCTTGGAAACTAACCCCTCCCGGGCTTTGTGCTTTCTGTCCCTACCGCCCCATCCTCCAAACGAGGCAGAGCCTGGCTCTTGCTCTGACGCGATCACTTTGGCACTCTGGTCACAAACACCTGTCTCTAGCCTAAGCTGGTGTCTCCATCTTTCTCTCTCTCGGTCCAGAGGGTCAAGGAAAGATAGGAGGGGAAAGGAACAAAGGGAAGATACCTCAAAAGCATAGTAAGAGCTAAGGCTCCCCACACCTGGGGAAAAATGACTCCGATAAAGCTACCAAGTCATCATCGCCGCCCACGCAGGAGCACCGAGCTTGGCCTGGGAGACCGCATCCTAAGGAGGGCCGGAGCGGGCTGCCTCAGAGTGCGGCGCCACCAAGCGACTCTGTGGCTCCAGTGAGCAACCAGGGACGTGCTCGCCCAGGGTCTACGGAACTAACCTCCCACAGCCAGTGGCCCCTAAACAAAAACGTGTTACAGAGAACACAGCTTACATTGGCACACACGGAGGCTATAGTTCGAGTATATAAAATCGTGTACTTGTAGACAGAGGAGCAGGCTGAATATACTGTGGCCCTAAATGAGGAAGATACTTAGCTGAATGGACAGGACATCTCCAAGAACTGCTGGGTGCTCCCAGGGCCTGCCTCCCGGGCCTCGCCCTCAGGTGGCCGGCAGACTCCCAGGTTCCCCACATTGGGGATACTATTTTATTTGCCTGAGTCTTTTTAAGAGCCAAGCAGTGGAAAAGAAGAGGTGAGATCAGTATGGGGATCCCCCTGGGAAAGGCTCCAAGGGGTTAGGAGGGAAGAGAGGGCAAGGGGTTGGGGGTAAGAAGCAGCAGGACTTAGTGGGGTGCAGGTTCCATTTCACAGACTCCACTCAGCTCCAGCTCCAGCTGCCCCCAGCTCTGGGGAGCCCTGAGCTGGAGATGGAGCCCCGCCCTCTGCCTGACAGGCAGCTCAAGGCCATGGTGGGGCCGATGCCTTGGTCTCCCTTTTCAGGCTAGGCTCTGAGCGTTTCTATGTGCTCATGTAAGAGGGGAGAAGTCTCCATGTTTGAAGACCTTGTTTTCTCAATTACAGAGAAAACAGCCCCGATTTCTTTCCTGAGATTCGAATTCCTCCACGTGCTGCCAGTTTCCAGGGCCCAAACCGCTGGGGAGATGCACGACCTGGTGATGGTGGTAATGACGGTGAGGGGTATGGCTGCTGTGCTGTCTTCAGACCTTACCCAGTGCTTGGGGTCCCTCCCGGGCAGGGAGTGTTAGAACTGCTCTGGCAGCAGACCAGGGGTTTGGGGACAGAGCAGTGACTTCTCTGGGCTGACGCCATGTTCCCCTGGTTGTTTCCCGTGCCTTCATCTCCACAGAGGCCACACCAGTCAGGACTGTGGCCGAGAGAATAAATATTTTTGCTAAGTACCAGCTCGCCAGCTCCTGAGGAAGAGGGAGGGTCAGGGAGTCCGGGAATCTGGCGGAGGCGAGATAGGCAAGGGTCTGCCTTCGGTTGTGGTGGGAACGGCAAACAAGATGACCAACACCATTTAACTGATGTCTAAATGGCACCTCCAGCACCTCCTTGGGTGAGCCGGTCCAGGCCCGCGAAGCTGACTTTATCCGGGCACTTGGTGTTCTGCAAGGAAACAAGGACAGATAACCAGGCACTCAGCCTGCCTGCATAACCACCACAAGGTGGCGCTAGAAGGAAATGGACTGCAGGGGAAGCCAGAACTGGTCCTTCAGGGGTGCTTGTGGGGCCAGCCCTTCTCAGATGCACATGGCTTCATGGCAAACTCGTCTATCAGAGGCCTGGTCAGGCCCTCCCGCAGCTATTCACATCTAGGCTCCACAGGGATTCAGCAATCCAGGTTGTAACCATCCCCTCTGAATGAACAAAAGTTACTCACCATTCTCACCTCCTGGGGGGTGGGTAGAGTGAAGGAGTGGAGCCTTGCTGACTGGCAACAATGGCTGTAGAAGAAAGCCCTGGGCGAGCAGGAGAAGGCGTCAGTGTGGCCTCTCAGAAACCTCCCACCGCCCAGTGCTTCCCACGCATCAGCTGCTGGAGGAGGTGCCCGCCCTTAAACTCCTAGCTCCACAGACTTCCGGGGTGCTGACAGAAAAGGCGCGGCTAGATACAGTGGCTGGGGACAGACAGGCAGGCTCTCTTTTTCAGCTGCCTGTTTCTCTTTGGCAGTGGGAACACCTGTTCCTTAGCCTTCTAAATATCAAAGCCAATATTGTGGAGGAGTTTGCGAGTCCCCAAGCTCCAAAGGAGGAAATTAATGTCATAGGCTTTAATGACGGTCTGTAGGAGGCTAGACAGATTAGAAGCTCAGGGAAAGGAGTCCCGCGGGGGTGGGAAGGACCCTGCCGTGGGCACTACTGTTGGGATGGAGACAAAAACTACAAAGGCAGGAGGAGGGAGACAGGCTCACCTGCTGCGTAAGGTAAGTTGTACTGTGCGGGGAGCAGTGAGTATCCCAGGTGGTGGTGGTGGTGGTGTGTGGACATCAGGCGCTGGGAGGGGGAGGTGCGAGGCCGGTCCACGCTTCGCCATCCCCTCTGAATGAACAAAAGTTACTCACCATTCTCACCTCCTGGGGGGTGGGTAGAGTGAAGGAGTGGAGCCTTGCTGACTGGCAACAATGGCTGTAGAAGAAAGCCCTGGGCGAGCAGGAGAAGGCGTCAGTGTGGCCTCTCAGAAACCTCCCACCGCCCAGTGCTTCCCACGCATCAGCTGCTGGAGGAGGTGCCCGCCCTTAAACTCCTAGCTCCACAGACTTCCAGGGTGCTGACAGAAAAGGCGCGGCTAGATACAGTGGCTGGGGACAGACAGGCAGGCTCTCTTTTTCAGCTGCCTGTTTCTCTTTGGCAGTGGGAACACCTGTTCCTTAGCCTTCTAAATATCAAAGCCAATATTGTGGAGGAGTTTGCGAGTCCCCAAGCTCCAAAGGAGGAAATTAATGTCATAGGCTTTAATGACGGTCTGTAGGAGGCTAGACAGATTAGAAGCTCAGGGAAAGGAGTCCCGCGGGGGTGGGAAGGACCCTGCCGTGGGCACTACTGTTGGGATGGAGACAAAAACTACAAAGGCAGGAGGAGGGAGACAGGCTCACCTGCTGCGTAAGGTAAGTTGTACTGTGCGGGGAGCAGTGAGTATCCCAGGTGGTGGTGGTGGTGGTGTGTGGACATCAGGCGCTGGGAGGGGGAGGTGCGAGGCCGGTCCACGCTTCGTTCACCCCCGCCTGCTCCCCCGACGCTGCTACAGCTGCCACCACCCCCAACCACCCCACAGCCTCCCCGATCTCTCTCCTGAGAAGTTTTATCACTTATCTGGAAAGGAAAGCAGACACACAAAAGCATTATAGTGACACACACACACAAGCGTGCACCACAGAAATGCCCAGGGTCCCCTATCACGACTCCCTGTGAACGAGAACACCAAGGACTGATGGGTGTCTGGGTGGGGCTGACGTCAGGCCCTCAAGCTGCACTTGGTTAGGATCTGACCTTCCCCCCTGCCCCCAGCCCAGGATAACGGCCCATGTCTCTGTCCACCCCTTACTGTGGGAGACTTGCTCTTGTAGTGACTGGCGTGCTGCTGCAAGATGTCCAGGGCTTTGGACTCGGAGCTGGATTTACAGCTGACGCTGGGGCTGGCTCGTGCCTTGTCAGCGTCTTCACCACCTGAGACCTTGCTGCCGTATGGGGAGAACGAGTAGCTGGAAGGCAGGTAGGAACCTGGGGAAGGAAAGAGCAAGCAGTCAAAGAGGGCGGGGCAGAAGCGGCTCTGCGTTGGTGGGCTTGGTTCCTGGGCCTTCGCTAGGCCCAGCCAAGGGATGTTCTACCACGCTGTCTTTGGATCAAGACCACTGGCTTGTCCTTTCTTTACTAAGCTCTATGGGAAAAGTGAGTCGTTCCCTGCAGCCAGCTTGCCCAGACCCACCATGGTTCTTTAACTGGTGTCAGGGGTTCACCTTGGAGAGGTGATATGTTTATGTGGAAAGATCAGGATTTGGAGTCAAATAGCCTTGGGCTCAAACCCTACCTCTGAGACTTACTAGCTGGGTAATCTTGAACAAAGGAACCACCTTTGTAAGCCCCGTTTCTTCACTGTTGAATTGAAGATACCAGTACTGACCTCGCAGGGTCGTGGGGTGGATTAACAAAGACACAGTGCGTTAGCCACCCAGTCCAGGGCCTGACCCGACCAAGCGCTCAATGAGTGGAGCCAGGACTCACTCTCACACCGATGGAGACAGAGGGGTGGGAGGGAGAAAGGAGCGCCTCAGGGGTGAGACCGGTTCCCATCTGTTGGAAAAGCGCACTTGTCCTGTCTAGAGTTTGCCTTATAATAAGTTGTCACCAACATGCCATGACTACTCAGGCTGCCACAGGCAGCTGGGAGCTCTCAGGAGTGAGCTAAGTGTCCTTCCATTCCAGAAACATCCACGCAGCTCTCTGGGCAACAGAAATCAGCAAGTAAAACTGAGTCAGAGCACATTCTTCTATCAGAAACTCCTGCCTGTGCCTTCTACTCCCCAGGAGCTTGAGACTCGCATACAGAAAGCGAGCTTGGGCCCAGTTGTATTCCCAGCTCTGCTTGCCTTCTGCTCTTACAGCTCAACACCACCTTGCAGCTGAGCACACGCACTGATCTGGGGTGAATTTCATCTATTCTGTGTGTCCCTTTTGCTCTAATTAAGTTGTAAGTTGCTTGAGTGGAGAGAACTAGTCTTCTCTGCCTGTTTCATAAACCCCCAGTGGCTAACACTGTAAAATGCAGGTATAGGTTTAGAACACCCAGCGGAAGGGAGCTGGCAGTGGTAGAGAGGGAGCTCTACCCTTGGTCTGCAGTGAAAATGGCCTACGAGTAACTTTCTACTTGGAG